ATATCCGATAACCGTTGGGTGCGCATTCTGGCCTTATCCCACTCCTCTATTTGTGCGAGACACGGGCTGCTGCAATGCAAGGTTTTGTGCCCGTCTGGCTAAAATCTACCCAAATCTGAATGACAGCTGCAATAGGTGCAAACAGTCACCTGCCAACCATACCCATGGTCGTGTCCAAATTTAAAAGATTTCTGGGATCAAATATTCAATACACTTGGGACAGTACTAGGTATAAAACTTGACCCCTAACCCCTTACAGCACTATTTGGAACTCAGCCGCCTGAAGTACTTGATCTGCCATCGACAGGACAACGCATCCTGGCCTTTACGACACTTCTAGCTAGACGCCTCATACTATTCAAGTGGAAACACGTCCTCCTGCCTTCACATAACAGTTGGTTAATAGAGATCTTAAATCATATAAAACTTGAAAAGATCAGATTCTCACTTAGAGACTCCAGTGAAGCCTTCGAAGAGACCTGGAAACCTTTCATAAACTTTATTTGAACGATGCTGCAATCCAAAAAGTGAACTAGCAGACGCCCCTCCCTTTTTATTTTCCTTTCGTCGTTTATTTATTTTTGTCATTTGTTTTCTTTGTCTTAATTTCTGTTTATATTTTCTTTTTGTTTTCTTTGTCTTAATTTCTGTTTATTTTTATTTTTTGTTGTTGTTATGGTGGTTGTCGTTCTGGGGATTTTTTGTCTCTGGTTGAATCACTCTTTATACCACACCTCCTCAGAGTGATGTTTGTTTGTTCGTTGAATTTGTAATTTCTGTATTCAGTGGCAGTTTGTCACAGTCACACTACCACCAAGAGACTTGCAAATGAATGTAATATCCTGTATATCCCAACTTTTTGGGGGTAGTCCTGTTCTACCTCTGTCTAAAGTATTTGCAAAATCAATAAAAAGATTTGAAAAGAAAGAAATCAGCTGTCACCGATGCAATAAATCTGTGATACGAGAACCCAAGAAAACGTTAGCAGTTCCAACCGAAAAACCTGAAGCTGACTCACCAAGTTGTGCGACTCTCTCCTCTTCGTCGTGGCAGGACGACTACGTGGAGGCTCTGAGTAGGCTGCATCTCACCGTGACCCGTGCCTACAAGGTCAACCCGGAGATCAACTTCGAGGTGTTCATCCACAAAGTGGACGGCCTGTCAGACGACCACAAGATCGAGAAGCAGCGGGACATTCACAAGCGGGCCAACGATGACCTTGCAGATGCCGGCCTGGAACGCATACATCTGAGGTGGGCTTGGACTGCTTTTGGTTTCACAATTGAATAGATAGTGTATTGCAAGCTTTTTTGAGCTTTTATGCTGCTAACATTTCACAAGAGCATGTGTCTCTTTATCCTGCTGCATAATATGTAGGGGCATCCTGACCGGGACACTGCTACTAAAACCTGAATGAATAGTTGGTGCTGGTGTTGATTCCATGCTGAAGACATCCCGTAATATATTATAGAGTGATACTAAAGGCTACAAGTAATACAGGGAAGCTCTTTACGTATTAACAATGTGGGTAAATATATAATCACTTTTACTCTTTAATGTTTCAGTTGGAATATTATTGGAGTGTTATAGACTTACTATAGAAGATGATTACCCAAGTATGATAATATAATTACAAGAGGTGTGAATCTTCACTGGCCTCACAATTCCATTCTGATTCACCCATCAAAGATTCAAATGCCAGTGATTCTCGATACTTCTCAATGTATCGCATCCTCACATTTCTCTATGACTGCACAGGCCTACTTCTACAGTCAGATAAAACGGAACTCCCTTTTTTATTCAGAAAGGGCTTTCAAAACCTATAAATAAAAGAAAGCTGCATCTTTCCAATGCCAGTATCTGTGTAAATATTACAAAAACCAAACATAAATCTTTTTACAGTACATTACAGGTGTGCTATAATCTTCAACATCTCTAACAGCTCTAACACAGGGCACTTCCTGAATGCTTATAGCATTTTACACTCAATGAATTAGCCTAGCGGCTAGCCGACTCTTCCTTACTCATAGCTCTTCTAGTCTCACTTGGTTTAAAGTCACTGCATCGTTTTGATGCTGGCATGCACATTTTTTTTCAGCCTGACATTGTTGACACCAGAGCTACTAATATTGGTAGCAAGAGCAGCAAGCTGGCGGAGTGTGTAAGCTCGGCCCACTGTGAAACAGACAGCAAAACTCATTAAAGACTCACACTGGGCTGAAATGAAACCAAGCTCCCGATGAATGTCACTGCATCGAAGCAGAATTGTCCACATCAAAATGCATCTTGGGATCAAGAAATGTCCACACCTCTAAGAACAGTAACCGACTATGACTGACACAGTATAACATGCCGAATGAAACACTAAATAAACAGGAATAAGGAGCGAGAGATTGCTGAATCTGGCCGATACACTCGTCAAAATGTTATTTAACTAAGGGGAGTGAAACTAAATATGCTATAACTTTAATATGCTCATTTGGTTTCTCTTTTCATTGTCTACAAGAATTGTAATCTTGGGACGTTAATATTATCTACAACTGTGTGTGATGACCTTGAAATGCTAATCTTTTGATCGGTGACTGTTATCTGTCCGCATCTGCACAAAGCAAAAAAAAAGATCAGATTGTAAAAGCAGCTCGTCATTGAAATCCATTCTGATTCAGATATTTCTCCCTGATATCTACAGCTTCTACTTAACCAGTATATACGATCACTCCATATTCGAGGCTTTCAGTAAAGTGGTCCAAAAGCTTATTCCACAGCTGCCCACGCTGGAAAACCTGCTCAACATCTTCATATCTGTGAGTAATCCAACCAGGCTGACTCTGCACCTTTAAACTAAGCGCTGCTGCTGAATCAATTCATCTGAAAACTTACACATCCTTTTGTTAAATCTCCATGGAAACATTACAACAGGGTGCTGCTGCTTTTCTACCACATTTTAATCATCAAGTTGTATACGGCACGTTGCAGTATAATGTGTTCTTTACATTCCACTCACTAGGTGGTAGTGCTGCACAACAGAACACTGGTTGCATTGCATCTAATTCCACCACTGATGTTTATATTCATACTGCAAAAAATGCTACATGCATTAAGTCAGCACAATACTGTGGTTCTGTTGCAACTAGTTTTTTCAAAAAGAGCCCTTAGAACCATACTGTATAAAATATTTGCAAACATCTTTTGATGCCATTTATTCAAAAACTTCAAACATAACTTTTTTTAGGTGAAATCTTATTCCAGCGTCCATGTAATATGTATTTACTTTGGCTTCTTTTACTCTTTGTCCGTGTCGTTTACTGTCCCGTGCAAATTCAAGTTACTGTGAGTAACTTTTAACTGGTTCTGTACCAGTCTCAGTGTAGTCCTGATCCTCTATCAGACCTACATCAGTAAAGAGACCATCAGAGAGAAGATGGTCCATTTCTATAGAGTTATTCTTAATGCTCGTCATCGGAGCCACCGGGTCGGATTCTGGTGAAATCAGATGAAATCATGCAGGTTCACCAGAAACTCCTTCAGCTCAGACTCCAGCAGAGACCGGTCCACCGTGGACAGACCCAGATCCTCCAGCA